GTGTGTGTGCGTGTACGTGTGCGTGTGGTGTGCGTGTGCGTGCAAGCGCGTGTCTGTGTGTGCGTGTGCGTCCGTGTGCATGTACGTGCCTGTGTGTGCGTTTATGTGCGTTTTGCGTGTGCGTGCGTGTGCATGTGCGTGCGCGTGTGCGTGCAAGCGCGTGTCTGTGTGTGCGTGTGCGTCCGTGTGCATGTACGTGCCTGTGTGTGCGTGTGCGTGCGTGCGTGCGTGCCTGTGTGTGTGTTTATGTGCGTTTTGCGTGTGCATGCGTGTGCATGTGCGTGCACGTGTGCGTGCCTGTGTGTGCATGTGCGTGCGTGCATGTGTGAGCGTACGTGTGTGCATGTGTGAGCGTACGTGTGTGCATGCGCGCGCGCGCGCACGTGTGTGTGTGTGTGTGTGTGTGAGGATGTTCGTATGGTGAGTGAGTGAGTGAGTGCGTGAGTGAGTGGATGAGTGAGTGGGTGAGTGTGTGGGTGAGTGAGTGGGTGAGTGAGTAGGTGAGTGAGTGTGCCTGTAGTATGCTTGTCATTATGCTTGTGATACGCAATGATACACTCGTTCACTCACTCACATACACACACGCGCGCGCGCGCGCGCGCACACACACACACACACTCACACCTACAATGAAATTCAATTCCGACCAATCTAACTCCATGCAGTTCATATTAGGAAAAATTAAAATCATAATTTCAGCTAATGACAACAATATTTTAAATTGGAAATAACTTAACGAAAAATGATCGCATTGAGCTCAGTAAAGAACTATTTTAAAGATAACACTTTTCCTGGCAGAATAATGATCTTCAATTATCAATTTTACATCTTCTTACTTTGTTATCTGCCAAAGATAATCTTACCTCCAATAGAGTAGTATTAATTTGAGTAGTAGTATTTTGTAATGTCTTGTCAGTATTTTTGTAGTTAAATCAAACTTTAAAATTGCTTATAAGAGACACTGGATGGATTTATGTATATAAATTTATTCAACGTTTCGATTGCCGTTTAGGTCCTTTTGAATAATAGTCCTACCACGTAGGATAGTCTACCACTATTATTGAAAAGGATCCAAATGGCAAATCCAATCATATATTACATTTGTAATACTTGAATAAATTTATATACACAAATCCATCCAATGTCGGCTCTTATAGGTAATTTCATAGTTTGATTTAATTCGCTAGAGCTTTGTTATTAATCTATTTTTGTACTTTTTTGCTTATGTTATTATTGTAAAATTATTAGCGCTTAAATTTTGTCCATTCTACTTAATAAAATACTGTTTAAGTTAAGTAATACTGTTTAAATACTGTTAAGTAATACTGTTTAAATACTGTTTAAGATTTAGTCCTTAGTTCTTTACTTGTATTTTTCGATCAATCAATAATATCTAAATTTTGCGATACAGTTTATCAAGTTAATTTTCTCTAATTATTTTATAAGTTATAGTTACTAAACTAAAATAAAAAATCCTGTTGTAATAAATTATTCAAATATGGGCAAGTTAGAAATTTAGAAATTTTAAATGTAAATGTAAATTATCATTTACATATTTGTAATAAAGTATAAAACAATTGCAAATATTTTGTTATTTTGATCTCCTCAAATGTTTTCTATCTGGAGAGTAAATTCCATGCAGCAACGCCTGCAAAGCACAGGGTAAATGCAGTTTCATAGCGCTTTTATAGCGCTTTCCGAGCGCTTTGCAGGCGCTGCTGTGCTACGCGGGAAGTGCTATAAATGTGCTATAAAACTGCTTTTATCCTGCGCTGATTATATGCTCTTTCACAGCGCTTTCCGAGCGCTTTGCAGGGACTGTTGTGCTACATGAAAAGTGCTGTAAATGTGCTATAAAACTGCATTTATTTTGCGCTGATTATATGTGCTTTTATAGCGCTTTTCGAGCGCTTTGCAGGCGCTGCTGTGCTACGCGGAAAGTGCTATAAATGTGCTATAAAACTGCATTTATTTTGCGCTGATTATTTGCGCTAATAGTGCGCTTTTTATAGTGGATTTTGATAGCGCTTTTAAAGCGCTAAAAAACTGCTAGATTTATGCACCCGTAGAAGCGCTTTTTTAGCGCTTTTTAAGCGCTGATGTGCTACGTGGGAAGAATATTATGCGTAAAAGAATTTTAAATATTGTGATTATTTATTTCATTACACACACACACACACACATTACTTAAAAACACTTATTTGTGTAACTTTTGTAGTTGTTATTGTTGCATATAAGATACAATAATATTAGAGAATAATATTAGTAATAATATATAATATATAATAATAGAAGCAAATATAACTTGTTTTTAGATTGAAACGAGCAACGTTCGAATATATATTGCACATAATTTCGAAAGATCTTGTGCGGAAGACGAAAGGGTATGAAACAATTTCACCTAGAAACAATTTTTTATTGCCTTGTGGAAAATGGCTACAATGAATTCGTATAGGTATGATTATTGCTTTCATTATATTGCATATTATGTGTATTATGTTTTTCACCTAATATGCAAGTATTTAAATTAACTTTTAATTGTTTTTATATATTTGCAGATCTATCTGCGATCGCTTCAATGTAGGAAAAGCTACAGGTTTGAGAGCTGTTAGGACGGTAACACGAGCACTGTTTAAAAGAGCTCATCAATTTATATCGTGGCCATCAGGTGAAGAAGCACGAGCAGTAATAAATAAATTTAAAGAAAACAGTAGATTCCCTAACACAATTGGTGCTATAGATGGAACGCACATACAAATAGAAGCACCTAAAGAAAACGCAGCAGATTACATCAACCGAAAAGGATATCACTCTATTCAGCTTCAGGTATTTAAAACTGTTAAACTATTTATTATAGTAATTTCAGCTATATAAGATATTATATTATCATTATTTATTAGCCATGTTTATTTTGGAAATATTTCTTTTATATCAAAAGAAATAGTCTAATTTTACCACAGAATACTTTTACCTGTAAAATTAAATAAACATAAATTCTGCTAGATAAACATGTTAATTTGTTTTATTTTCAATTTCTTTTCTTGTTATAGGTTGTGTGTGATCATAGAGCACTCATAACTCATTGTTATGTGGGTCATCCTGGTTCTGTACACGATCAGCGAATATTTAGACAATCAGAAGTGGCAACATATCTGAATAATGAAGAAAATTTCCATTCGACAGTCATTTAGTAGGAGATTGTGCCTATGCATTGCACGAACATTTACTAGTACCATACAAAGATAATGGACATTTGAGTGCTGCCCAAAAGCATTATAATTTTTGCCAATTCTCTGCACGAGTAGTAGTTGAAAGGTATTTTGATTTATTAAAAACACGATTGAGGAGTTTGGTGCATTGCTTACCTATGACCAGAATTGATCTCATGGCTGAATATATTGTAGCATGCTGCGTCATTCATAATATTTGTATACTGAATAAAGATGAACTCGCAATAATACCGTTAATATCAGCTACAGATACTTCAGCACAAGATCATCATATTGATCAAAGGCAAGCAAATAACAATGGAATTTATAAAAGGGACATGATAATGAATATGTTACAAAGAGAATTTAATTAAACTTTAACTTTGTATAAACATATATTTGTAATTATTACACTGTACAAAAACCAAAGCAACATAATAAAAAATATAGACATTTTATCGTATAAGGTTATCATATGTACAGGTACTCTCAAATAAAGACATTTGCTAAATACATAACAGATCAAAATTCATAGCACAAATATATCACCCATATTTTGTGTCATCTTAAAAATATAATAATAAATGTAAATATATGGTAAGAACTAAGAATAATCTAAAACAACATAAAATAAAAAAAAATCCTTTACATGAGACAAGAAATACTTAGTTCTTTAAAGTATGAAAATAATATTAATCTTTACTGATTTTAGGGCCGATTGTTCCATCTTTTAGGTAAAGTTTATCTGTTAGGTAAGTAACAAGATTACCCAATCACGTGTGCGGATTGCCAGATTTACTTAACAGATAAAATTTATCGAAAGATGGAACAATCGACCCTTAAACTATAAAACAAAATATATTCTAACAGTTATAGCAGAGATAGGAAGTAATTCTTCTTTCACCGTTAGCATTAACGTTACTTTTATGATAACAATTTGATTATAACATTACAATTTTTCATAAACGTTCAGACATAAAGTGTGTGTTATGAAATTTACCTAAAGAATTCACTTAGAAAACAATTTTTGATTGTCTGGTGGAAAATGGTTACAATGGATTCTCATAGGTACGATTATTGCTTTACTCATTGTGCGTTATTCACTGAAAAAAGTAATTTGTAACTAATCTTTAAGTAACGAGTAAAAGTACTACATTAGTAATGTTACTTTTACTCGTTAAATAACGTCAACTATCAAATTACTTTTTAGTTTTTATCAATAGGTAACGTGTAATGGTGTACAGTTATTTATTAAAAGTGACTATTCCAGTTGTGGCATTACCATTACTATTATGAAAAATTGTAACGTCATGATTAAAGCATTATAAGAGGATAAAAATAATTTAAGTCATTACTTATAACACATTATACTTCCCATCTCCATGGATTATAATATTGTTAAATGAATACTAAAAGTAGAACTATTATTGAAATCTATCATATCACAGTTAACAGATGTATCACTTTCATTTTATATATATCTTGAAAATATAATAATAAAAATAAACACATGGTACGGACTAAAAATAAAGATCTCTCTATGTAATTAACAAGAAATATTGAATCTTAAGAGATTTTTAAGCGAAAATTCTTAAGAGAGAAAAAATGAAAATATTTATTTCTCTGTTATAATCTATAAAGTATAAAATAAAATAGATATTAAGCTTTTATGAGTATTTTTAAATAAACATCACGAAGTAGAAATGTTACCTGTTTAAGAATTATGTAAGAGCATTAACCAATTTTGTCTCTAAAAGCATTCTCTCATCGTGACGTTTCTGTTTTTTATGTTCATGTTCCTGTTTTTGTCAATCTCTCTTCAAAAAGATTTGTTATTGATCTCTTGGTTTTTATATCTGAAAAAAATGAAATATTTAACATCTAAATAGAATACAGAATTGAAATAAGTGTAATTGGACTGAACTAAAGTCATTCGGATTTTATTAAAAAGCAAAATCCAAACAATTTGGTCAACTCAAAACGTTTAAAAAATTGTATGTCAATTACAAACTATATATAAACAGTTAATTTCTTTACAAGAAACATTTATATGCAAATTCTTGTTTAATTAAAATATATATTCAAAATCACACACGCACGCACGCACCCACACACACACATTATATATTCATCAATATTTGACATACTCTTTTTAGGAATATTATTTTTCTTGTTAGGCCGAGAATCATCTTCAGAAAAATTTGAGCAAGTTGGAGAACATTCTTCTGCATCAATATTTTTAATTAATTGACCAGTAGATGAACCAAGTGCTACTGGTCTACACCAGGCTTTTTTCGAGAACATGTTATCCATAATCTGAAATACAAAATTATGTATAATTGTGAAAAAATTTATTAAAATTTGCTATTTATAATTCCAGATAGGATTTATATAAGGTGCGTTCCAACAAGCAACACAGTGTGACACAGTGAGGAGGATCCCGTTTGCCTACAGTTCTGATTGTACACACCACTCATATCAACTGGTGCCTAGTAATTTTTCACTGTTTTGCCAATGAGATTATTTTATTTTTAAATTGGCCAATCAGCGATACATGTGTGCAATATGCGATGTGTGCAATCGGAGCCCTCCCGACACAGTGATCATGTCATCTTTGTTTAACATTGGCAAACAACAAAAATATAATGATCCATTGTGTCACACCGTGTCGCTTGTTGGAAGGCACATATAATTATCTACTGATACACACACACACACACACACACACAAAATTTGATAGACGATTATATAAATATTTATAAGTAAAGGACTCTTAAAATTCAAAATGTAATAATTGGAAACAAGGCAAATAAGAGTCGTATGTAATCATCAAATAACTAAGAAGTGATTAACACATTCAAGTTTATAATTATCCAGTAAAGAAGTTCGTTTGAAATATAAATTGTGTAATTCTAATTATAAGTATAACATGTTTCGGTTCTACATTTGAACCATCTTCAGATACAATATAAAATAAATTATTACCTCTGGTACAACACACATACTATAAAATAGAGATCATAACTAAAATAACTAAACTATAGAAAGCTGTTAAGAACGTTTATCTTCATTCCAAAGCCTCATGCAGTTCCTCCGTGAATACATATTCAAAAGTCAAAACGACTGATTGGTCATTTGCGTTTGAAATGAATCTAAATGTTAACAGATTAAAAACAAAGAAAAAATCAGTAATCCAGCGATGATGAGAATTATCGTAGTCTTTTTTAATATTACGACATGACGCAGAACAATGATCGTTAACAAAGCGTGAAAGTAATTAGCTAATATCTTATTATACGTCTAGTAAGAATGATAGTATTAAATTGTACGTGAAAAAACAGAAGAAAAATATAAAGTTAATGACAAAAAATCCATAAAATCATGCTTCATGTAAATACAAAAATTTGTTTTTTTCAGTAACTCTTGCTCGTTATGTGTTTCTATAACGTGTTAAATTTGAAGCTCAGAATGACGTTAATAACAAAGGACAAGAAAGTTTTAAAAGTTCTCACCAAATCGTATGGAATAGCAGATTGTGACCAAGAAATATAAGCGGTTTCCACGTTCCGTCGTCAAAATTACAAGAACAATAACATTAAAAAACTAATACCAAAGAGTCAAAATGTATGACAAATCGGTAATATTAATAGAAACCGTCTGGATCAGAAAAATTTTTAATTGTTCTCAGCAGAGCCATGTTCACAGTACGGCCGTTTCTGTGTTTCTGACCGCTATTCGATGGAAACAATTTCCGCCAGTACCAATACGTTACAATTTATTTATAATATTTACATATTCTTTGTGAAGGCCAACCGTGTCTGTTTGTAAATTAATGCCATTCTCCTGTTTCTTAATATAAAGCATTTCGGAAATTAAGCGCTTTGTGTAACAAGACTCTACATCAAGAACTTTGACATTATTCCAGTCGAAGTCATGTGCATATTGCAACCTATGGTCGGTAATCACTGAACGAGCAGACGTATTCCATTTAATGTGGTTACGATGTTCATATATTCTAGTTTTTAATTGTCTGCTCGTTTGTCCAACATAGGTTGCATTACAATCGTTACAGTTAATTTTGTATACAACGTCATTTTTAACTTCCTCTGGTATTCTGTCCTTATGTACACCAACAAATTTACTGATCTTGTTCGAACTAAAAAACGAAACTTTTAAGTCGTCTCTATTCAATTTCATGAATTTGTCAGTAATATTTTTGATAAACGGCACAGAAAACCAAGAAGTCATTGCTGCACTCTTGTCATTGAGGTCACTTTGGTCATGTGATACTCTAGATCTATGTTTAATGTGACGTAATCTCTCATTAATAGCATCAAAAATACACTTCAGAGGGAAGTCATTATTAATGAGAATATCAATAATTAGTTCTATGTTTTCATGGTGGAAAGACGAATCAGATAAGAATATGGCTCTATCAACTAAATTGAAGATAATACCTCTTTTTTGAGATTCTGGATGGTTCGAAAGATAATTTAAGAATCTCCCTGAGAAAGTTGGCTTCCGGTACCAATTAAACGAGAACCGGTCTACATTAACCATTATCGTCACATCAAGAAAATTAATAGAGTCATCACCCACTTCCAATGTGAACTGCAGTCTAGGATGGAATGTATTAAAACTATTATGAAAATCGTTGATCTTGTCTTTCGGAACTGCCGCAAGTAGATCGTCAACATATCGATAGTACAATAAAACTTCGTTGTTGTAACTTGATAAAGCCACTTTCTCTAATTTTTGCATGACCAAATCTGCCACGATGGGTGATAATGGCGAGCCCATGGGAGTGCCGAAATTCTGTTTATATATAGTTCCATCGAACTGAAAATATGTAGAATCCAATACCAGATTGATTGCTTCTACAAATTCAGATTGCGAACATTTGCAATTCTTCAAGATGTGTTCCCAATGATCATTGACACATTCAAGTGCTAAATCCAAAGGGATGTTCGTGAACAATGAAACAACATCAAGCGAGATCAAACTATAATTATTGTTCGTGTATATTCCTCTTAAATTGTCTACCAAGTCGAAACTATTTTTTATGAAACTGTCCGCCTTAGGCAATGAATCAAACAAGATCTTATGTAAGAAGGAAGCAAATTCATATAAAGGGCTTCCTATAGATGAAACAATCAATCTGTATGGTACATTTGGTTTGTGTATTTTAGGCACTGCATATGCACGCGCTAGAGTGCCATCGCTGCAATATAACCCTTTATATGTGGTTTCGTTTATGTGGCCCTGCCTCTTCCATCTAACAAGCAACATTTGTAATTGTTTTGTCAATATTTTAGTCGGATCTTTCTTAACAATAGTATACGTACACTCGTCTCTGAGCATTTCATTTACCGTGTCAATATAACGATCCCTGTCAATCGCTACAGTAGTATTCCCCTTATCCGCATGTGTGAAAATTGTGTTATTTCTTGTGAACTCTCCAGTCATTTTTTCCATTTTTAACAATTTCAAATCTATCTCCTTTGTGCACAATGGTGAAGACACTAAGTTGTTCAAAATCGGTATCGAATGGCTTAAAATATCCATTTTCTTATTTATATGTAGTCTCCTTGTGCTGTATTCAATATTCTTTATGCATTCAAAAGCTAAAAATTTTTTATTATTATTCGGATTTTGAACAACTTAGTGTCTTCACCATTGTGCACAAAGGAGATAGATTTGAAATTGTTAAAAATGGAAAAAATGACTCGAGAGTTCACAAGAAATAA